ATATAAAATTTTCACTGTTTTTGCGCATCGTTTTAAACCTACTGTGACGTCATAATGAAATAGAGCAATTGACTACTAGTTTCGTCCTCACATAATGTTTTCAATATAGTTTGTGCAAGATACTTCATTCAAGCTCAGCTTCCCATGTTTGGGTCTTGCACGTTTCAGGAATACAACATGAAATCACGGTCATGTTACACTTCGTTTATTCATGGCATGCGGAGGAACCCTGCATCAAAAGATTGCAAGTAATGTGAACTTTCCAGGAGGAGCCAACGGGGTCTGTTCTTCTAAATAACTGCTCTTGTACGAATTTTTTCCAGGGAAAAGGATTTTGAGCTACATTGTTGACAATCTCACAAGCAAATGTGTGACGCCCTTTTTTTGTTCCTGGCAAACGTTTTTAAGGTCATGAAAAAGGTTTATATAACATTTTTATGGTCAAAAACGGATTTTTTTTTAGTTATAGGAAAGTTTTATTTTCCTGGCAAAAATTTTCAGAAAGTATTCCTTGCTTGGAGAGTTCTTTTTTCCTGAATTTCTCGCTGGCAACCAGTTGTGACTTACAGCTGGTTGGGACTTATGAACAGATATACACCTATTTCAAAAAACGTTGTCGTCGCCAGGAATCAGTCCACAGTCTTGAGCCTGCAARGAATCTCKGGAWTGCCATATATTATGTGTTCAATTTCAGTTATTCGAAATACTCCGATTTAGAGTTCTGGTTTGCTCTGTGTTAGCTCCAAAACCAATCAACATATTCTTTTGTTTCATTGATAGCCCGAGAAAACGCATGGAATTTGAAAAGAGAGACAATAGAATTGATTTGAAATCTCACACTTTTATTCTCACAATTAGGAATATTTTGCGAACAAATTAGGCTAACACAGAGCATTGAAGAATACGAAACTGGATTATTCTCGGCGAATATAGCTTTGAAACTCATTTACGTTTTAAAACGTGGAATATTCATTTCAATGAGGAAAATGTCTATGGCGAGACTTGTTCGATGGGTCGCAATAGTTGCTGCCGCAGCGTAGCGAGCCTGAGCGAGCGAAGCGTAGGCAGCAACTCTAATCTGGAGAAGGGCAAAATTTCTCGATTTTATCCCAGGATGCAGTACGTTTTCATTAACCGTCTTCCTTTGCGCCACTATAAAAGGGTGAACAGTCCCGGATGTTCTTTCTCCCTTGTGTTTACATTAGCTTGTGTTCTTGAGGTGAGTCGAGTTTTGTTGTGATATTTTGATCTTTCTTGCTGTTTTTATTTGATTCAGATCACTAATTCAAACAAGTATTAACCTCGAGTTCATATTTTCTGTTTCAGTTTTATCATTATTCCGTTATGTCTCGATCGTCTCTTGACAAAGATTGTGGTCTAAAGAGTTCTCGACAGTGAGTGCATCAAGGGCGCTAGATCACTGAAATTATGACCTATAAGTTCGAGATGTCGCCTAATTTATCCAACCTATGATAGTCGATAGTAAATAAAGTTTTACTTATTATCTGAAATGCATCCTGAATCTGTTGTCTTAGCCGCTAAAAGGCCTTTGATTTTACGAAACTCATTCAAATGATTGGGTTGCTGATTTTTACGGTCTGGCCAGGAATAGCCTGCGTTACATCCGGTTTTATTTGCCACATAAAACCAGATGTAACGATATTCATCATTAAAATCACTTTGCGCTGGCTTTTATTTGAATCAAATGTAGTTCTTGAACCAAATATGATTGCCGTCTGTGCCAAGAGTACTGAAGAGTAGTTTTTATTGATTTTTATGGTATAAAAAATTTGAATTTGACACTTAATTTTTTGTAATAAATGATTTTGAATACTGAAAACGTCTGTTTTCCCCCCTTGTCTATTTATAAAAGACTTTGCAATAAGGGTTCACAACAGAATAGCATTCGGGACAAGATTTTCCATGTGAGAGTAATACAAATGCAGCAAAACCGCCTATACTAGAGTGAAGTCATGCAACACATCAAACGCCGATCACACGGTGGCAATTAAGCTACCGGGCAGCACTTTCATACCTTTTAGGTAAACTAGT